CTCTGCCTGGTTCTGAGGTTCAGGAGAAGCATCTCCCCCGAGCTCTGGCAGTCCCTGGCCTTGAACATGGCGCAGTAACAAGACTTCAGTCCTAGCTCCGCAGCAGTGTGCCTGGCTATAAGCCGAGGAGCGATGCTCAGGGCATCGTGGAGGAGTCTGGGTTGTAGCTTCGGGGCTGATCACGGGCCGCTCCTGCACTGCTGGCCTTTTGGTCCCCTGTGGGTGGCTGGTCAGAAGACTCTGAGGTCCAGGGATGGGTGGACCCATGGACGGCTCTGAGGCAGGGGCCCTCTGTCCCAGGACACCCTGGAGAAGTGTGGCCAGTGTGGAGAGGTGGTCCGGGACCACATCATCAGGGCCCTGGGCCAGGCCTTCCACCCCACCTGCTTCACCTGTGTGAGCTGCGCCCGGTGCATCGGGGACGAGAGCTTTGCTCTGGACAGCCAGAACCAGGTGTACTGCCTGGATGACTTCTACAGGTACGGGAGGGGACCGGGCATTGGGTGCTGTGGCGGGGCAGGGCGGGACTCGGCAGAGCAGAGGAGCCTGCTGAGCCCTGGGGACCAGTCTCTAGGCCAGAGGAGCCTAGTGCTTCCATGGGCCACACACCTGGCCGTGCCCCTAACTGCCCGGCACTTCCCTTGAGTCGGCCCAGTTAATCCTCATAGTAGTCCTCCCAGGTGGGTATAATCGAGGGGTCCCTTTTACCAAATGCAGAAACTGAGGCACGCAGCCACTGGGTACCCAGGCCCCTCCTGGTAAGCACCGAAGCTTCAATTCAGAGCCCTGCTCCGGGGCCCTAGTCCCCAGCGCTGTCCCTGGGAGCCACACCAAGCCGTGGGAAGGTGGATATCCGGGAGACTCGTTCCCTGCCTGGAGTTGCTCCCTGTCCAAGGGGAGAGGCAGATGTGCTTGTCCAAAAAGGAAGGAAAGAAAAAAAATAGTGACCTGTAATGCAAGTCAAACGAGAGGGACCTTCCAAGCTAATTACCCCCTGGGAAGCGGGGGTCGCTGTAGGTGGGGCTTTAGGTGCCGTCAACACCCAAGGTGTGGAACAGCTCTGGGAGGTGAGCTTGAGCCAGCCACGGTTCTGCCAGCAAATGTTGGTGGCTGTCCACATGAACGCCTCCTGAGTGTGGGTTCCCTCCCCTCTAGGAAATTTGCCCCCGTGTGCAGCATCTGTGAGAATCCCATCATCCCCCAGGATGGGAAGGATGCCTTCAAAATCGAGTGCATGGGAAGAAACTTCCACGAAAACTGCTACCGGTGCGAGGTGAGTGGTGCAGCGGTGACCTGACCGCGCGCTCTCTGCCTGGACCCTCGGAGGCCCACGCCCACCTGCCCTGGCTGGACACGGGGGCAGGTCAGGCTGGGGGCCGAGCTCTGTGTTGGGCAGTGGCAGAGACAAAGGAGAATGGGAAGAATTAGACAGCTGTCCATCAGCATTCCTGGTGTCCAGGACAGACACAAAGTCACACTGCTTCCCGCAAGAAAGCAAACCTGTCAGCTCACGGTGGTGACCTCTTTGATGATTAGCATCAGGGCTGTCTCTCCGTCTCTCGGTTCTGCCTTTTCGATGTTTGCCAAGAACGAACCCCACACAGGGCATCCACACAGTCCCAAGAAGGCCCCTAATTGGCCCAGCCTGGGAGGCATGCCCCTCGGAGCCAATCACCATGCCTGGGTGCCAGGATTGACAGCAGCATTGACAGCCCCTGGCACTGGAAGGCAGAATCCTATGAAGCGGTTGGCTTGCTACCACCCTAGGCAGGGAGAGCAGGTGCTGGGCAGAGTAAGGCCACCCGGGTCCTGTGTGGGTGCTGAAGAGAGCACTTATCTTATCGGTGGGTTTGGGGAGAAGGCAGTGATGGAGGCTGAGCAGGGTGGTGGGAGGAGAGGCAGCCTCACAGAGCGGCGGTGCCTAACGGAGGCTACCAGGGTGAGCGAAGCTGCCAGGTATTGAGAGATGGAATCAGGAAACAGAAAGAGGGAAGGGCCTGTGGAACCCGCAGCAGCAGCAAGCCCCAGGAATCGGCCATGGGGGTCCCCAGGTGGGTCTGGAGCCGAGAGGGAGTGGTGAGTGTAGTCCCAGGGTGCAGCTCCACAATCCAGAGCTTGCCTACCTTGTGGGGCTCTGAGTTCAATCCCCAGTGCCACAAGAGATCAAAAAGAAATGCCCAAGGAGTCAGTGCCCCGCGGAGGCTACAAAGTCCTGTGTCACCATCCTGTTATCAGCAACTCAGGAGGCTGAGGCAGGAGGATTGCAAGTTTGAGGCTGGTCTCAGAAACTTTTAGCAAGACCCTGTCTCAAAAAAAACAAAAAACAACAACAAAAAAAAAACAGCTGGGGATGCAGCTCAGTCAGTGGTAGGAAACCTGCCCAGCTAGCACGGGTGAGTCCTGGGGTCCATTCCCAGCCCAGGAGAAAAACAGAAAAGATACATGGACCCAAGAGCCTGTTTTCACTGAGGGCGTCCGAGGACCTGGAGAAAAACTGCCTTGTACTGAGGTTGTCTTTGTTGGTTGTAGTTCAAGGTCCAACTGATAGTGTACCTGTGAGGGCCAATGAGGAAAAGCAGGTGCGGTTATCGCCACCACGGCCCTTATTGGTTCCTGTGTGATTTAGATTAGCAGTAACCCCCTGCTTGTCCTTGGTGACCTTGACCGTGGCGACTGAAGTAAGTCAGCATTTGATCTGTAGCAGTTACGTTTCAGAAGGTGAAGCTCCAGACCCAAGCAGCCGGGAATGGAGTGAGGTGCCATTTCTCTAGGAAGGGACCTGGGTTTCCGGGACTGTCCACAGCCCTGCTGGCCTTGGGCTCTGTATTTATGAGGGTTGTTGGAAGGGTGACAGTACTGTCACACATGGGTAGGGTTTTATAATTAAATGCCTTTGTACACACGGTACACACCGTCTTATTTAACCCTCAGGACACTCTGGGGAGATGATATTCATTGTCCCCATTTAGGTTTGTCACTTGATGCTCTCACCACACCCAACAGCCGCCTTTGTGAATGACACAGATTCTGGGGTTTAGCAGCCGGTTTCCACTAGAGCCTCCGGGTGGGTCCCCGCGAGGGCGCCCTGCCCAGCTGGCCACAGAGCGAAGCAGGTGTGCATCTGGTTCCCGCTGGGTCAGGGTGGCCACCTGCCAGCCCAGAGTTGTCTATCTGGGGACCAGTCCCCTTGACTGGATCCGCGCAGCTTCCAAAGGGAGTTGGCTGTGCCCTAGACCAGGCCTCTGGACGGGGATGGTTCCCGGGGTTACTCTGGCAGGTGCCCAGGTGAGGCCCACCAAAGGTGTGGACTGGGGGCCAAAGGGCGGACTTGGTCAAGGCTGGGCCCCGAATTCCTCCTCTCCTTTTCATTCTGAAATTCTTCTGTGATTTGAGAAATTGGGGATAGTAATGTTTGGGCTGGGGTTCTAGCTCAGAGGTCCAGTCTTTGCCTAGCCTGTGTGAGACCCTGAGTTCAATTCCCAGTGTGGTCCCAGCTCTAGAACCAGCTAATGCGACCTGGGCCGGACCCCACCCCCAACCTCAGTTTCCCCACCTGCAAAACAAGGAGCTGGACTAGACTCGGGGGCTCGTTCAGCAGACATCACACAGGCCTGTGCCCGGCTGGTAGGGGCTGCGATCTGGCCACCAGCAGGGCCCCTGCCTGGCACAACTCAAATTCCAAAGGGGTCACCAGGTTGTCCCTCTCTGAGGGTCCTTGGCTCTCCCTGCAGTGACTCTGCTGTTGTCACTCACAGCCCCTGTGGCTCGAAGCCCCCGCATATGGTGTCTGGTCTTTGCTAGGCACCGGGCCTGGGCATATGGGGAGCCTGGGGGAGGCCCACCC